TATGTCCCTTCTGAACCCATTCTAAGGAATCCTTATATGGATGCAAACATTTCACATGTGTATTTAATCTGCATTATTAATTTGAAATTGAAAGAAAAAAGGGGAGAGGGATTTCCTTATTTTAAGGAAATTAACATTTTGGATCAATTATGTCTAAAAAATTATCTTTAACCTTTTGCAGAGATCTTTCTGGTTACAAAAGCTATTAGTTTCAGTGCAGGAACTTTAGATGCTGCTTACATAATGCAAATGCAATACTAAAATGCAATACTAACATATGTTTTGCATAGTAAGAATATGCTTAGAAGAACATGTAACAAACAAGCATTAAGTCTGTGTTGCCTTGATTTGGAGAGAGGTTTTGTTGGTTTGGTTTGCAAATTATTGCTTGTATGAAACCTCATTTAAACAAACCTTTTCCTGGCAATTAAAGTAGGTGCACAGCCACATCTTCAAAAGCATTATTTGTTTTGCATGTGTCATAGTACCCTTCCTTCTATCACTTTACTATTACACACAGCACATTGCTAACCAACAAGAGTTAACATCACCATTACTTTCTGTTTTGCAGCTACTATGTTCTGTGAGTCAGGATACTGCATCCCTTTATTCATGATTTACAGAAGTGTAACAAAATAGATGGGCAATGAGCTCTTAGTTCTTTACCTTGTGACACATCACATCACTCTGTGAGACTAATTTGTTGCTTGTATAAAGACTGATCCATCCTCTTGGGTCCCTTTAGAAATGAGGGTTTATTATAATTTCAATTTATACTAGATAGTCAGTGAAAGGCCTTGTTTGCCACCCCTATCAAGTCCTCATTAAAATCATTACTGAGTAAATTGTGATGGCAAAATCTTTTTCTCAGCAAGAGGAGAAAGCAGTGAGACTTGAGCCAGTGATCAAAATACTCTGTGGCATTTTAGAGATTTGTGCAGGAATATTTAAGTTACACTGCAGTGTTAGCTGAATTAATACTGACTCATTCAGAAATGTTTAATGAGAAAAGGAAAGAGTTGCTGAGGAACTTTCTTAAAATATACTTAGTGTGACACAGGAACCTTTTTTTGTTGTTGTTCCAACTTATGCATTTATAAGGAAAAAAGAAAAAAAAACAAAAAAAACAAACCAAAAACAAAAGCATCAAGAACTTTCTTGTAATGGAGACACTTGGAAATGTCTCTATCATTTTCTAACCTCTTAGAATACCACCTGATAGCCCAAAGCAGTTATCTTCTCTGGCACCTTACCACAGACAGTTATCTCCTTCGAGTAGGAAGTTGAAATACGGGTGATATTTGGCATCTCCTTGAGAACCCTCCTAGTTTCATATAGCAGCTGCAGTACGTAGTGGGCATGAAGCAGCTGTGAGGAAAAAAAAATGCAGGGAGAAAAGGAAGACTTATTAGAAGTAGCAAAACATCTGTTTGCTTTATTAATCTTGGTATTGCCAAGATTACTTACACTATAGACCTCCAGACCTGATGGGAGGCTGTATGGTTTAGTGTTGGGAATTAGGAGTGTTCATAGCTTTGCACTTGCTTCCCAGTGAATGGATGTAGAGCCCTTAATGAACTTGCTTTACATATTTTCCCATTTTATTTCTAGTGTACTGTTTCTACTCTTCCCATCTACAGAAAGGACAAAAAACTGAGTTTTACAGCATTGTGAATCATTGCATAAGGTCATCTGTTCAAAGCAACTTGAGGGGGGAGGAAAAAAAAAAAAAAGATCTAGCTGTGAGTTAAAACAAACAAAAGAAACCAATAAACAAAAAGAAAAAAAAGAAAAACAAAAAACCCAAACAACACAAAAAACACAAACCAACAAAAAAGAAAAAAAAAAAACACCACCCCAAAAGCCATAAACGGTATTTCAGCAAACTGCCAAAGTGAGAGGGAAACTCCAGCAAGAGTTATCTTCCTCCTCACTGTGAAGATGTTATGACAATGAAACATTGAAGCTCCTGGTCTTCTCTGCTAAAGTTTTTTATGAAAATTTTGTCAGTTTGTGATTCTTAAGGCATTTAATTCAAATACAACTCTGAGGAAATTTGGTAGATGAGACAGTTGAGCTATGGACTGACTTTTCAAGATTTGTTTTTAAAGAAAAAAAGAAGGCCAATTATATATAGTCATTTCCTTAATAAAATGCCAGCCATGGTAAGAGAAGAGAGAGCTGACAGTAAGGTGAAGTCTGGGTGGGCTCACTTGTCATGCACCTTATATTTTGCTACGTTTAAGATCAGCCTTCACAGAAAATTACAGAAAAAAAAACCCAAAACCCAAACCAAAAAACAACCAACCAGCATTATTTAGTAAATTAAAAAGCAAAACAGACCCTTGTCCTTTACATACAGTATATTGGTTCAGCACAAATGACCACAAGTTCAAACAATGCTGTGGCATGTAATGTTTCCCTGCCCCACCCTGTCTTGAAAAGGGCAGTGAAGGGGCTTCTTCAGGAACACAGAGAATCAGCAACAGCCTTCTCCGTGCCTTGGCAGCCACAGACAGTAAGCTCCTCAGATTTGTGCTCTCACCCTGTTCCACTACATTAGTGATGCTTTATATTCACTCTTCCATTATGGTGGAGTCTTGCACACTGGAACAAGGTGACCATCCAAGGAGCACTTTTAACGCAGAAGAAGATGGTAACTAGCTTAGGACACCTTCCCCAGTCTTGCACCCTCACTGATAACCCCTGCCTTGCAGCTGCTAATGGTTCCTATTTCACAATCACTGTAATCTCAGTGCCTGAAGAGGAGGTCCCAACTAGTCCCTGCTCCCTCCCTGGTGCTGGCTCTCGCGGTCATGCAGCCAAGTAGCGAGTCAAATCTGCGAACAGGTCTGTCTGAGAACTGACTGCTTTTGATTTTGTCATGGTAGCTTCAAGCTAGATGAGTTTTCCAAGACAGGTCACAATCCAACTAATTGTGGAGCTATAACTTGACAAAGATGTAAAATAAGTAAAAAACAAAACAAAACAAAACAAACCAATAAAACCAAAAAACAGACTACTTGTAGCTTACCTGTTCACTCTTGAAAGCATGAAGAAGAGCATTGGCATCATCAATAGTAAGAGGGACAGAGAGCCGTGGTCCATAATAGGAGTCTGGAACATCAATCTTCTTTTCAAATTCTGTTAAACATAAGTTTTCTCCTACCACCTGAGAAATGCAGGGGCTGGCAAGAATTTCAGAAACTGGAAAAGAAGGAAGAAAAGCAACAATGTAGAAACTCCACTGGTCCCCCATAGGGCTGTAAGAGCATGACTAGAAATGATGAAAGTAAATGATGCTTTACTTGCTGCAGTGTTATAAGTGGCCTTGTATAGTGGAAGAGCTCCAGGTCTCCCCAGATTGTTTCACAATACTAAAAACAATCAAACCAACCAAAAAAAAGCAAAACCTAACCAAACAAAAAAACAGGCAAAACCTCTGTCCCAATAGCCCGCAGCTGTGGTCAGGATGCATAACATTTCACATTAATGCTGTGGTCCAATCTGCTCTCATAGATAATGAGAAACCCAATATGCTATAGACTTTCTTCTCCTTCCTCCACAAAGCAAGGAGATTCCAAAGTCGTGGATGATCATTCAGTGACCATCATCTGTTTAATGTTCAGTATTACACTTCTAATACAGGTTTTAGAGATTCACTTTTATTTTCTATGTAAAATCTTTTAGGCTAAATACCAGCAGGTCAGTGATTATTTAAAACATCATCAATAGAATCCTACTTATTCACACTGGATTGCAAAGCACTCCTTTCTGATACAACTAAGACACAATGCCAGCTTTGGTTGGCTGCCATAAAACCACTGGATGAAATAAAGTAAATAAAACCATAGGGGTAAAAGTAGAGCATAGTTTCTAATTTTCCTGGAACATGGAGAAAGCAGGCACATGACTAATTACTTCAATATTTTCTTGACATTCCTTTGAAATGTAACTGAGTGAACAGTAGATTTCAGTGTTTTCTTCTTGCATATTGTCTTTATTATACATTATTCTAAAAGGGAGAACCAGACGCTAGAGGACAGTGTTCTGGCAGCTGCTCTTGCAGAGCTGCTCTTGTGAGATGATTGTTGTGAATGCTTTTTGCTGGGCTACAGGTAAGTTTTCTGCAACCTTAATTAGATGCAAGTGGAAATATAAATGCATTATTTATTGCTGAAGGAATACCTCTAGCTATGACTCAGAAGTCACAGCAGCTAAAACCGGCATGTAGCCTCATAAAATATGGGAGGCCAACAAATCTTGTAACTGGATAAAATCCATATTAGAAATAGATAACAGTAAACTTTTTATCAGTTCTGGATTAAAAAAGAAAGGAAAAAAAGCTTTCTTTAGCAGCTCTTCTGCTGTGAGCTGATTAGCACATTCAGTGTACAGCTATGTAAATGAATTAAGGCATCAAGAAAGAACAAGGTGCTCAGGGTTCATAGTTTCCACAATGTACAGTCTGATTTCCAGTCTTCCACCACAGTTACAGCTTTGTCTGGCCAGATGCCAGAACATCACCCATGGACTGAAACTGCTGGTTCCCTGATCACATACTGATCAGCCAAGCACATCTGCACCAAGTCCTCTCGCAGCTTTAGCAGCAGGTCTCTGGACAGCCTCTCCCTCTGTGCCCCACTTCTCAGGAAGTTGGTGGCTGCAGACCATGGAGCCAGTTTCTCAGACCACTCAAATTCCTAATTGCTTACCTGTTCTGGCCAGAGGCTCTCCTCATCTGACAAGATTCTTTCAGTCAGCTGTCTTCTCAGCATTTCAAGCCAGGCAGACATCTGCCCATGCCTGTTCCTACTCCAGCCCTCCCTTCCTGCATACAGCAGGCTACCCGTCCTTTTCTCTCTGAACATGAACCTGCCTTCCTCACAGCCTCTCTGCTGTTTTTGGCATTTAATCCAGGCTAGGAAACCCAGTCTCCTCCCCTGTAGGGCGTATCTCTGCAAAAGTACACCCCATTTCCCACTTTTGGATAAGTTGTCAAAAGCCAGTCATGGTCATTAGCCTTAGAAGGCACTTACATTCTCTTTCACCTAGATTTTAAGACTTCTTCCTGAACAGGATGACTGTCTTGTCTCAGAGCAGTCAGTAATGGGTGCCCTAATGCAGCCTGGGAACTGTCACTCTGGCCGATGAGTATCCCAGCTCACCACAAATCCCATGCAGGACTAATTCTAAAGGATTCATCACCTCTCTCATTTTAGTCATCCTCTACTTGAGGCTGTCAAGGCTCTTTCAGTACATATCAAAAGACACGGACACTTGGTGTGCCTAGTTCAGGCAGAGGTCTTAAGACAGAATTAAATACCCTCTGCCAGCATCTGCATCTCTCCACTGACTACAGGGAGCACAGGGAGTGACCTGCTTTGTACTCCAAAGGCACCAAGCGATCTAGCCCAATCTCGGTGAGTTGAGCCTTGCTATTAGACTCCATACAACCACAGTAGCCATACCCCATATTAAACATGAAAACCCAGAGTTACTTGGAGTCAGTTTGGCCACAGAAAGCCCAGGGATCTGGTTCTCCTGACAAGACCACCTCACCATGGGAGTTGTTCAAGGTAAGTCCAAGATGCCACTGCTAAGGATGTACTCACTACCATGATAACAGGCATCAGCTACTTCTGCGGCCCTGAAATAAGCTCTCTGTTCTGCGACCATCCGTGTGCCTTCAGACTAACTGTTGGGGTACCTGAGAGCACCTGATTCCTGAGCAGTGCTCTTACATCTGCCAGATACACCCATCAGGCCAAATCCAGAGGGACCTCGAGCCCACTAAGAGAATGAAGATTTCTAGAACACTCCAAACTTTCATTTCTTCACTCCATTCCTGGTGCTGTAAGCTGAAAGCGGCTGTGACTTATTCCGCGCTCCAAGAATCACTCTATGCAAAAAAGCCTTTGAAGGGTGTTAATGTTGTAAGGGAGGCATCATGGGGAGTGAAACTGCAGAAAACAGCACCTTTTTTTGTTGTTCCCTTTCAAAGGGAGGCTCTAGGAAGTGTGGCTCCTGCCCTGGTTGTCTTGAGAGGCACAGGGGTGCCTTAGACTTCCAGTTCCACTACTTTGCCCAGAACATGTTTACAGCCTTCTCACCCTCAATGCGCCATTCTAAAGAGTGAGTAAATGACTCACCTTTACCTGGAAAAGCAGTGTCCAGCTTTCTCTGTCCAGAGAACTTTCCAAGTTGGGGAGGGAGAAAAGTGTAAGGTGGAAAAGGTTTTAATTCTTACTTCTCACAAATCTTTGGAAAACAGCCTTTAATCAGAAGCAGACAAGACACATAGCTATGGAATATCCCCATCACAACTTAAACTGCACTGGCATCTTAAGCAGGATGAGAGGATGAAAAAAGCTTTAGGGTAAAACAGATAAACATTCACATCAAAACCACTACTGTGTTAATGAGGCAGTGGCTGCTTTCTGTCTTTGAAAAACATTCTGAAAGAGCAGATTAAAAAGAGGAAAGTGACAAGATGAACAGTGGAGACTGAGTAGTTTATAATGTAAAGGAAAAACAGATCACAAAATCTTCAGGTAGCTTTCCCATCACATACTGAGAAGAACAGGCAATCTATTCTCTGATAAGAATATTACATACTCTCTTTTTGGAGAGGGCTTTTGAACCATATGCTATCACTCAAATTTAAGTGAGCACACACTGATGAAAAACAAAATGCCAGAAAATAATGGGGTTTAGAAAATGCTTGAGAATAGCAACGCCAATTTGAAGTCCCTCTGCATGTTATGTTTATACTCACTGTGGCTCATCTCTTAAGACCATGATTCAGCAGAACTGGAAGCAGCTCATTAAGAATTATTCTATGCAGCACTGATTTTGCCTAAATAGATGGGCTAGCATGAGTGCTGCAAAGGTCAAGCAATTAGGAGGGGCAAGCAGTTGATCTTGAAGTAAAGAATGCACATAGCCAGTAGTTGGAAAACATAACCACACAACACAAATTTTATGTCCAATTTGTCAAGAACCGCCCCCCAGCAACCCTCCTTTGTATAGGTGACCTCAGCAGTCTCTCTATTAAACATGTACCTTACGGAATCTTTCCACTTCATTTTGGGTTCTGCTATCTGTAACCCGGGGAGTTAGAAAGGGGGAAATTAAAAAAAAAAAAAAAATTAAGTCAAAAATAAAGCCTTTGAAGCAGTTATCAAGTCTTACCAGCTTCAGTCCTGACACATGAGGGTTTTAAGCAAACAAGACAAAGGGGAGATTTACCATAAACCACACACTTTATCACGTGTTTCAGCCTTTTAACCATGCCTGCAACTCCCAACACCTGTAACACCAATAAACATGCCACCTAGGTAGCAGTGACAAGGGGCAGCTCACAGTACCCTCTGTCCCTCCGTGTGCACAGGTGGGGCCTGTGAACAGTCTATGCATGCAGCAGTGTGCACCAGCCATGTCCTGAGCCCTACCAAGTCACCTGAGGCACCTCACCTTCCTTCCTTCTGTCCACAGACACAGTTAATAAAGGTGGATAAATTATATCTAAAACAAGCAGTTGTAAAATTCTCTTTTAATACTATAATGAAAATAGAAATTAACACTAGTTTTCCAAATCTCAGACCTAGCACTACTATTTTCTTTCCCACTCAGGTGGAACATCTGAACTCAAGTGCACTAACAGCACGTAGAAGTAGATGAAGTGAGCAGTGTCTGACTGGATACGACTATTGTATCATCTGCCTTGGCTTTGGAGCAAGGATCAAACATGATTTCTTTTTCCACAGAGCACAGAGAGCATTAGGCACTCTGAAGTATTTAAGAGAGAAAAATTACCATTTATAATGATTGCCATTAGAACACTGACCCTTTTATGGATTTGATAGCGGTTTTATCCTGCTATCAAAGTTTCCTGTGCAAATTTTAATTGGAATAAAATGTGGCTGGACCAGATGAAAGAGAAAGGACATTCTCTTGTAATTCAATAGGAAGGGGACAGCCTCCTTCTTAAAATCACTGGGATTAGATCTATTCTCAATTTATTCAGGGAAGCCATGTTTGTTTTCTGGACTTAGAAATCACTTTCAGTCTGTCCTTCCTTTGAGCTTGACCTCAAAACTAAGTTTTGTCCAAGGATGCCAAAATACTTCAAGAATTACGAGTTATTCTTTGAATAACTGACATTTAATTGAGATGGTTTCTGAAGATTTACCTCCAGCACTGTAAATTTATTTCATTTTTAATCATTCACATATTGACACATGTTTTGCAGTGAAATCTAAAACAAATTAAATTAAAAAGTTATCCAGAACTGCTTCAGAGTTAGGAGGAGAGAAAAAAAATTAAAAAAAAAAAAAAAAAAGAGGGAACAAGAAGAGCAACCTCTTTGAAGGCAACTTCTTTGGTGCCCTAAACCAACTAGACACAGTTTCTTGTAGCTGAAGAAAACATGCATAGAAAACAGGAGTCAGTAAGACTACCATGAGAACAGCTTAAGGGCACTAACATATAAGCAAGCCCTTTGAGCACCTCTGACTATTCTCATAAAGACAAAGTATCTGTCCTGTCTTACATCTTGACTCACTGAATAGACATTGAGCAGAGTCAACACTTACAGAATCAAATTCTTATGACAGTATTTGGGAAATCAAACCTCAGCACAGCACGTGCAGCAGGCTGTCAACATCACATTGAAAATTAACTTTCTTCACATTGGGTTTTTCAGTCAGAATCTCCATATTACTTTGATTTTTACCCTTACCTGCATCAGATGGAGTACAGTGATCCAGCATGAATGTAAAAAAGTTGGACAGCTGAGCACAGAAAAGAAAAGAACACTGATCAAAGAGCAGAAACATCCTCTTTCCTTACGCACTTACTAGCAATTTCCCATTTAGGGGGACCTAAGACACCTCTGTATGATCCCATAGTATCAGCCTGCAATAACGATACAACCTGTGTCCTATTACAAAAACTGCTTACTGCTTTCCTTCTTTGCTATGAATTAGCAGATTGACACTACATGAATACATAAAAAGTTCCAGGGCTGTATCAGTGCTGGTGAACATTTTTGGGTGTACTTCATCTTGTCCATCATTCAGATTATTTGCATAGGCTTCCTTTGGAGTCTCTAGAAAGATACTGCTACAAACACCAAACTGATTTTAGACACTGATGAACACAAAGCCCTAAAAGTTCCTAATTCCCTGTATTCACCCTAAAGGAAGCTTCGTCTGACATGCTGAGACTGATATCCCTGTTGCACATCTTGCCTCATAGACGCAGTTAATCACCCATAGGGGATACCTGCAGTTCCTGGCTAACAGAGCTGTTATACAGGAATCTCTAACCTAGAAATAGTTGTATGGGCAGAATGGTGTCCTGCTGCTTATGTAGTTTTATACACACACACACACACACACACACACACACACACACACTTGCACACATATATATACATATATATGTATGTATGTGTACACACAACCTAATTAGTTTATGTGTGAGGCAGGAAAGCAGTTTTTATACATAGGACAGACTTGTAGGGAGAAATAACAGCACACCCATTTGGGGTTTTTTTGTTCAACTTAGTCCTCTAGTATAACGTAAGTGCTGGTACAGGAAGAATTGAAGATTACAAACCTGTAGCTGATCTTGCTCATCAGCATATTCAATGGACTGAAAGATGCTCAGAGAATAGCGGCGCCTCATCTCTAGCCGGGCCATTCTAAAGCGGTACCAATTCTGGATGAGGATAGCAGATCTAATGACTGTCAAAACAGAAAGCAATGGAGTACATATGGATGCAGAGTAATTTGCCTACAGGCCCCAGTCACACCACAAACGTATCACATTCCCTTAGCTGCTCAGATGGAAGTTTAACAAGCAGAAAAACATCTGATGGCACAAAAGAAGTCCTGGGGTGGGCACTGTCCCATGGGGAGAGCTCCTCACACCTATGTAAAGCAGTTAATGCTGCATGAACAGTGGACACCAGCAAGAGTTGTGCAGGGGGCCAGGAGCTCCAGGAGCTAATGCTCACTTGATCCCTCCCCATCATGCCCACAATGCCCCCTGCTATTTCTGGTACACAAAGTGCAGCACCTCTGAGGAGCCAGGGCACTACGACCAAGAAGACAAGAAGAAAGAAGGGCAAGTGTACCCTCAGCATTACCACTGATCACTGCAGCTTCGGCAGAACTGGAGGGAGGAGTGAAAGCAGAAGACTAGAGGGGCTGTGCTCAGCCTGAAATAACCATGATCTTGGGAGAGGAGGAGCAGATGAGCTCAGCAGTAGCTTCTGTTTTTCACAGTTTTGACTCTTCAGTGCTTTAACGGTGCTCATCCAGAAAGATCAACTAACTTTGAGAAAAGCATTCCTCAGTCACTTGTAAACTGTTTCTTTAAGATCAGCTAGAGAGGAATAAATGCACCTTTCAGTTACTTAGGGCATATGTAAGTATGGATTTATCATCCAACAGAGGACACCATTTGTTATACAAAATTGAAATAAAATGCAGCTACTGCCTTGAAGATAGAACAGCTGAAATAATGGCTAATTCAAATCTAGACATTTGCTTAAAATATGGTCAGAAGGAGACTCAGTATTAACATGCTTAGCCCTACAGAACACTAACAGGGGCAGAGAAGGGGTATTACATGCATCACTGTATAATAGCAAGAGGAAGACAGAGCAGAGGGCTATTGGCTCCCTACACCTCTCCCAGTGCAACCACACCACCACCACCATATCCTTGCCTGGCAACAAAAAAATAGAGCAAGGTAAGAGGTTGCTCTCAAGAGATGCCACGTTTACTTACTTAACGTTAAACATAATTCTTGTATTTTTTCATACCTCTTTTTCCCTGTACTCTCAACAGGATACTGGTAAATAAGTAGAGAGGGCCAGAAATGTCAAGCCTTTACCTCTAGCCCTGCAGCTAACACGTCACTTCAAGGAGTTTGCTAAGGAACGCAATGCTGAATGCCTCAGCACAGGACACAGAAAAAAAACCAAAACTCTTTATGCTTCTGATCTTGGGGGAACAAATCAAAGCAGCTACAGGGCAACTCTATAGAAGGTACAAAGGCCAAAATAATACACTGATCTTAGCTCCTGACACTTCTAAGAACTAGAGTTCATTTCTGAGCAAATAAACAGATGATCAAGAGACGCACAGAAACACAACTGAGACATTCTCCTGAGTATCTGAGTTTGACCCTATCACCACTGCAAAGCATTGCAAATTCACAAAAAAGAAAAAGAGAGGAAACTAAAACCAACACTAATGACTTAATATGAATATGTTTCTATTTTATTACAATTGCCAAAATGCACAGCTGATACTGAAAAGCAAAAGTAGAATTCATACCAGTACTTTTTCTCCCTGCAAAACTGCAAAGAAAAGCTCTGTACCAGAGGTACAACAGCTCACACGAGTCAATTATTTTAGCTGATCACAAATGCCAAGAATTTTGAGACTAGGATGAGTGGCACCCCTGAGTGAGAATTATCTTTTTTCTTAAACTGACACTTATGCAGGTAAAAAAAAAACTCTATAGAAAAGTGATTCTATTAATAAATGCGTAACATTAAGAAAGCTTTTTTTTTTTTTTTTAATAAAAATGCTTACAAGTGCCATAACAGCATGGTTTTTGCTTATTTTACCATTACTAAGTATACAGTATTGTTAAAGTGGTAAAGTTTTCTAGTCCAGACAAGGCCAAAAATCAGCAGAGACCCTCAACCAACAGCTACCGTATCCACCCTACAAAAATCTTCCTGCATGAAGGAAATGCAATCCTTATATGACTAAGCACATCCTTTATACCCTACATAAGCTCTGAGATATTTCTTATTTTCTGTCCTTTCTGGAATTCACCACCACATACCAGAAAGCCTGACACATCACAGCACAGCTGTCACCAGTTTTTCTCTTTAGAAGATTACCTAAGGGGCAAAGCACAGCCACCAGCACAGAAACTGATTTCCAGCATCAGAACATTGAACTTCCCATTATTAAAGCCCCCCCCGGTTGCTTAATGGTCCTGAACACTTAACACAGCACAATTCCACCGGTATCATGTAAGACAGATATATACCCACCTCTATGGTTAATGTTGCAAATCTAACAGAATATTTTGGGTTGGTTTGGGGTTTTTTTTTTTGTTTGGTTGATTGGGTTTTTGGGGGGTAGGGGTGTTGTTGTTGTTTTTGTTGTTGTTTTGGAGGTTTTTTTGTATTTTTGTGGAGGTTTTGTTGGGTTTGTGGGGTTTTTTTAATTGTACTTATTACAGTGCTGTTATTCTCAGGACTGAATTAGAATATGATTTTCAGACTAGGCTAAACTGTATCTGTAGAAATAATTATCAGCCACAGAAGGTGTCTACCCCAGCAAGTACCTGTTAAATTCATGTTATTTATGCATTAGAGGGACGTACAGCCTCAGGCTGCAGACAGAATGATGGTTCAGCATCATTTGACTGCTGCTGAAATGCAGGAAGAATATCATGCAGCAACTGGAGAGGACAAAACATTGTCAAGCACATAACAAAAACATAAGGCAGTTTTAGGGTAGCGAAGCCTGGCTCCACACCAATATGTATTGATGGTTGTAAACCAAGAAAGAGTACAACTCCTTATGCCTGCTCCAAGCTTTTGTACCTTCAGAAATGTCCCCAACTAACTTGTCTCTGACACCTTGCAAGGCACATATATACACAGTATGCAAATCCTAAAGGGAAGGACCGCTTCTTAGAGGTAGGTCTGAGACTCCAGGTGCTTCCATTCTACTTCCACTGCTGTGACACAGTGCTGATGCTACTGTGACAACCAAGCAGTGCACACAAAGCTGAAGGTTACCCTTAAACCGGTCAGCTTGGATCCCTGTAAGTGCTCTTTCTTCTTAGTTGCCAGTTTCTTGTGACTTGTGCCCCGGCTTAGTAGCCAAAAAGAGCCCTCCTTTTCAACCATGGCTTGTCAGCATAATAATCTCCTAAAACTATGCATACTGCCACATAACATGGTTCCCTGAAGACCCCTAAATTGCACTTTAATGACAAACCTTGAAAGACAACACAAAGGGTCTGAACAAAGGTCTGAGCTAATTCTGGAACCCACATGCCTGTGCAAAGCCTGGTGTGGTATGATTAAAAGCAGGGGGATAAGGCATTAGATTTCTAACTGAACGTTTAACCAGGTACTGTGGAGATTTTTGACTTAGTGACTGACGGAGAATTGCAGGCCAGGCACTTTGTATGGCAGAAAACTGATCCTAAGAGTCATTATAATAGCTCTGCTTTATTACACTTATTTCTTAACCAGAGTCACCCACCAGAAGGGAAACTGGGACAGTTTGCCCAGAAATCCTGTGTTGTAAAAGGCTCTAAAAGTTCCCCTTCAATACCTTAATCCATATATAGTGACTCAGCAGCACAGACACATCTGAAATTTAGGTTCTGCCCCAGATGCTGTGCATCTTTTTCCAGTCCGTAGATGTTCAAGGTGATCTACAGTTGCCTTCTGACATCAGCCAGCATCTAAAAGCTATGCATTCTTCTAAAAAGAAGATAAAGTAATTTTTTTAAATAAGTATTTTTACAACAGGACCGGGGGGGAAACTACTTTGCAGTCCTCTTCTGATGTTAGATAACAACCCCTGACCCTGAAGACAAAGGCAGCACTCACCTTTCTCTGATGTTCTGTCAGCTACAGAACTGCTGCACCCCATGGTTCCAATGATGCTTCCCATCAGTTTTAATTGCTGCTGATATGAAGCACCTGTCTTTCAGCTGTTAGCATTACACACATTTCCTGTGTTCAGTGATGAGGACTGTACTCCTCTGGGCTCTTCCTAGCACTGCTGGGGGGGGAGAAAAAAAAAAAAAAAAAGCATTTGACAACACAGAATCTAAAGTAGCTACAACTCATAAGAAATTACTGTACAACACATCCTGCAAAAACTGGACCTGATGAACTGTACTTGGTTCCTTTTTCACATCTGATTAGTATCAGCTTGCATTCAAGACTGAAGAACTCAGTAATTAATACAGTTTACTCCTTACATGTTAGCTGGAAGTTAATGTGAACCTGTGAATTCCTGGTAGGAACAAGAGTAGCAGGGACAAGAGACTACAGAAGCATGCTATTCTTCATTCTTGTGATTTGAAAATCGGAACTGCAGAATTCTAAGGACTTTAAACTACATCTGATACTACTGTGAAAAAAAAAACCAAACAACCCAAACCTCACCCTCGTAACACTCTATTGCTTTGAAAAGTGCCCTACCACTCCATTTATCACTTTTCCCTCAGTGTTACCACCATCAAATTTAAAAATTGAGACAGTGACATAGAAATTGCTTCATTATCAGATTTTATTCAAATAAACCATCCAATTTTCTGTTGCATTTCTACTGAAACATTGGTTTCATCAAATAAATGAACAAAGTACATTTTGCAGTATGGATTTTTTTTTTTTTTCTCCTGGTACTTGCTCAGCTCTTCACTAGATGCTATCATTCACTAACGCAACACACTTCCTAACCAAGTTCAAATGAACACAATTCCCCCGAAATACAAAACAGGTTAATTTTTAAGTAACAAGAAAGTCACTGATCCTCTTATAGACTGAACTTTGTAGGAGCTAAAGATTTCTTATATGATCACACTGATCCCTCTCCCTCCCTGTCTCCAAGGATACGTTTCTCTCTAGCATGTCTGATGTTTAAATTATTGCATTTGTTGATTTGTTTCATTGATATTCCTTTTGAGTTTTAAAACAAAGAAATTCATCAGCATAAGATGAATGTTTAGCTACTATTATTTTCTTTTGCCTTTGATAGTAGAAGTAAAAATAACAGGATAAGACAGAAAAACAAATGGATAACTAACCTATTTTTAATCTCAATAGTTAAGGTATTTATTGTTGCAGGACTATTTACAGTGTTGATATATTTTATTATATTCTATAATGTCATGTTATGTTATATTTATATTGCAGAACTCTTTATAGTTGTGGGGCTATTTTTCAGGGTCCCACAACACAAGGGCATCCTATAGTTAAGATGGGTCTGCCACCTTCTGAGCCAGTATTTATTTCAGGAAAGAAGGATTTTCATTTTTTTCCCCACAATGGACTGCTTTTCTTCCTTCTGAAGGAGCTATCATAAAATCCAAAAAGTGCTGTAACGTTAATTTTGAGCCAATCAATGGCTATGTCAGCACCAGACACAGCAATGATATTGCTAATAGCTCAAATTTGTCTTCTTTCCAAACAGCTGTTGTTCTCCTGAATACTATCTCCTCACTTATCCTCTTAGGACAATAAGATTCAGTGTTAGTCCATCTCAAACTAGCCAGCCATGACTTGAACTGTGAACCAAGAGCAAAATAGAGCATACAGTCTAAGTCCGGTTGCAGCAAGATATCTTCAGTGTGTGCCTGGCAACTGGGTAATGGGAGCCCCAAACAGAACCATCATGCTTCTCAGGACTCCATCCAAGTCACAGCTAACAATGGTCTGACCCAAGAAACAGGAATCTGAATCACCATTGCAACCTACTTTCAACGACTTAAGCTTTTCTCCCAGTCACCCCCACTCTTCCCTCCACCTACCTCTAAATTCACAGACTTCTGACATCTCCCTGAGCAAAGAAATAAAAAAGATAGAGGCATAGGGACAGAAATTTTGTGGTGTGCAGTAAATGAAGCCTGAAACATACATTCAAATCTTGGAGGAAAACTTGCACAAATATATCCTATCAGTAAACATCTTAAAAAGGACAAATCTGACAATCAAAGAACTAGTCCAGGGGAATAATCATCACCTTCAGTCCCAAGTATCTGCATCCTAAAATGGACATAGCGAACATTCAAACTACCACCCTATTTCCTGATGGCTTCTCAGGTGACTGCAGAGCCATCTTGGCCACAAACCTGCACATCCAGACTCCAGACCAGCCACACCTACTGAAGACTCCCGCAAGCGGGATCTCCACCCAGGTCCAGCAAATTCACTTTCTGCCCTTCCTGTCTGACTAAAAATTATGAACAAGGGGAACAAGCCTCCGTGGAAAGAGCCAGTGCCTCCTCCAGGGCAGGGCTCTTCATTGCTCCAAACTGAGCCTCTCCAACGGAAGAAATCCCTCCTCTCCTGCCCCCCAGTTACATTGGTTCAAGCCAACACCTGCTCCAAGCCAAACTCTGACTTCCTGGACAAAGATGTAGAAAAATACCAGACGAAGGCCATGAAGGCCTTCCATGGGGAAGAAGGTTGAAACCCAAGCATTGTAACATTAGAGTAATTTCTGTGAGCTATTCACCATGCAGTGTAGCGATGTCTGGTGAAGAATCATTAGCCATTACAAAATTCCCCAAAATGTTGGCTGGGGAAACGGAAAGCTACGCTTCACCAAGGTAATGAGAAAGGCTTCAGAGATGCAAGGTAGCTGGATGAGAATTTGGGACATAATGCTATGTTAGCATTCTGGATACTATGGCACTGATATGCACTTTAGAGAGAATCTGTCATGTTCACAAAAATCCAGGCAGGAATTCAACTTCTGCAAGCCTCTTCCATTTTTTAGATATAACTACAAGAAATTGCTATATTTCAGTTCAGCAAAAAGGCAATTTTGTGATGGACAGGCGCTGAATACACAGCCCATCCACTGAAGCAAAATAAAATATCATTCCAACCATACCAATAGACATGCACCAAGCTAAGCCAGAGTGGCATACGCTGCTATTTTTCTGGATAGGAGTCACTGAAGGTTACACTGGAGCAAGTGCTCAGAAATTTGGGGTTCAGAACCTGAGCTGGTGAGAGCCTGATTTACAGAGAATGAATCAGCATCATTTCAGCTGGATGTAATAGGTGCTGCACAAAATCAATCATGCCTCCAGCCTGTCAGTCACGTAAAGACCTGGCTGCCTCAAGAATAATGGAAAACTTGTAAAGATTTATAGCTGACTTTTAATGAAATCAGGCTGCAGTTCCTTTGGGCAGAGTGCCATCCTTTCAAGCATACTTTATCTTTTAAAATTACATGAGCTGTGCTACTGGCAGACAAATGTAAGCTAGGTCAAGCCTGAGGATACTGAAGCCATATGAGTAAGAGCCACTAGGCTTTAACTTCTTATTCTTGCTTTGTTCCATTTGTGTCTTACCTTTGCTAAAGAATGAAAGGCTCCTCCCACTATTTTTGTTGGGATGGGAATTATGCTACTTCCTTTAAACTGCTACCTCCAGCAATATACCTTCATTCCCTACTTGCTCCTCTCTCAACCTTATTTGTGAACAGGTAGTTATAATCTCGTGCCACAACATGTCTCAGAAGGTACACGTGGTTGAAGAAGTGATGAGATAGGGACAATTTTCTCCATAAAGATCAGACGGATGGGTGGGCAGATGCTTCCAGTGACAGGGGCTTTCCTTTGATCCCTTCCTGCTATCAATTTTTTAATTTTCTGTGATTCACAAGACTTCCTTTAGAGTTGTTTTTCTTTGGAAATTAGGACTGCAGAAAACTGAGAGATACTGTAACATGGGTTTGTGATTGATTTGCTTCTGTGCATTGCTGAGGGAGTAAAGCAGGAAAGAGCAAAATGCCCTCAAGAACACAGACATTAAATCACAACATCCAGGTCAGCACCTTTAGAGGGACAACTCTTTAGAACTGTTCTGTGGCCAGAGTTGGGATTGTCAAGGATAGGAATCTAGAGATGAATTAAAAATTTCATTATCTGAAAGACCCACCCTGCAGAAAGTGGGATGAAGCAGCCAAAGTCAACTAACAGAGTGAAAGAGAACCTCGCTATGGCACAAGAACTGTAATTTTGACACCAGCACTGAATTTAGTTTGCCAAGGGACTGATACGAGAACATCAAACATAGGCAAAGCAGTATCTGCTTAGGTCTCTGTTATTTTACATCCATGGGACAAACTGACATTTCCATTAAGAGACTTCCAATGGTTACATATATGTGAAAGAAGGGAGAAAGCCTTTTTGTTTACAGGTAATTTCTTCAACCTGCTCAGAGAAACAAGGCTAAGCTCAATATAGAACTTAAGGAATAATTTCCAGCAGAGGCTGTGTTGGTAGATCTCTGTATTTGGGCCAGGGATCAATAAGGACTGGATGTAGTAAGATACCAGTAAGCCAGCAAAGCCTGATAGAGAATAGAATGAAGACAGATCAGCTCAATAAGGTGGACTCCTATTCCTGAGCCCAGAAATGCTTTGCAAGAAGAAATAAAAGCAAGAGCTGCAAAGGTGTGAACATGCAGAAATTATTCAAGCAATTGCTGAGTTCAGGAACTGCATGCAAATCCAAAGACAGCTGTAGAAAACTGACAGAAGAATGCTAATTCGTGTTATTACAATCAATAAAGAATACACTTACACAAAACATTTACCCCTTTTTGTGCACAAAATGAACAAACAAAGCAAGCAGCCTCATTTTTTGCACAGCAAGACTTTGGGCTGAATGTTTTTTAAAAAGAGAGGGAGTAGCAAACACAAGTGCACAAATGAGGTGCAGATCACCCTGAAGTATAAGCAAAGCCATCATATAATTTTCCAGAAATGACAAATGCCTCTAGGGGGAGAATACTCTGGGAAGCAAGGAGAAAACTCAAAATCCAGAACCAAAGTTGGTTCTAGTTAAACTGAAGCCAACCGGAACGCAAAAGTTAACATTTGTTGTAAGCAAAATCTGAACCATGCATTGCTCTGCAGTTAATGAGCAG